TTGTATAGTTTCCGAGGAGCAACTGGCAGGTCTGAACCACCAACCTTGGGTTTCATACCAACCTTGCAGTCTAGTGCTTATCTTCCATCTCCACACCAGGACTCCTATAGAAACTAGAAATCCAGTTACGAGTTCTATTGCCCAGACTTCATGGTGATTCCTCAGAGGATGTTTAGGCAAAAGATTTTCAGAGCCTCTTCAAACCTGAGCTTTTCTCAGGCACTGCAGTGCCAATGTCTCTGTGTCGATTTTAGACAATTAAATTCCATTAGCAGCCTTATGTGTGTCATATTTCCAGGATTGATGCACTATTAGAACAAATGGGCTCTGCCAAGATCACCTACCATCTTGATTTATGGAAAGGGTTTTGCCAGATGGACTTGGATGAGAAGCACCGATCAGAAACCACCTTTCTAATACCCGTTAAAATGTGTGAGTTAAGTGTCTTGCCCTTTGAACTTCAAAATGTACCTGTCTTTTTTCAGTTGTTGGTTAATGGTCTGTTAAGAGGACTGAAGCCATCTGCCTTGGCCTTTAATGACGGGCAGTATGGCTATATTTAGCTAGAACATCCCAGACAGGTCCCACTGCTGCTGCTGAATACATCAGTCCCCAGAGCTGAGCCTGGGATATAGTTTATTAAAGCCACATTGGGCTTTCAGTGCACAGGTAGGTATTCAAGTCACAAGGTGGCCTTGTGGAATGAAGCGCAAGTGATCAGAGGCTGGTAACTAACTGCCCACAGCTAAGAAGAAAGTCAGGCCATTTTGAGCTGGTTGGGTACAAGGTAGACTTTATCATCTCATGGATTACAATTGTGACTGGGTGTCTTATCACTTCTGATGCAGACAGCAAACGTAATCAGAACCTTAGGGGACAAGGGATCAAGGGGCTTTTGAAATGATGAAATCATTTCTGATTCCTTTCACAACTTAGCCCTGTGCTTTTCACAGTCCTCTGCTCTGGCAGCTGTCAGGTCAGGTCACTTTGCGCAAACTCCATGGCTGGGCAGGAGGGTGGAGTACAACTAGCAGTAGGCAGTGTGGCCAGAGAGAAAGCAGTCGGCTGTCCCACGGGTCTGTCTGACCACATCTCTTGAGTTAGCACAGGCCATATACATTTGGTCGTTGCCTGCAATGAACTAGCCAGTAAGCTCTGAAATTGCTTGAGAGTGCACAGTGAGCAAACAGCAATCTTCAGAAGGGGTGGTGGGTGTCCCGAGATCCCCAGGATCATCATGGTATAAATATTCCTGGGTTGGAAAGGATGCGGAAAACTTTAGCATTAAATATTTAATGGGCATAGTGGGAGTCTTTAAAAAATACGCTGATGCACTGAGATTCTCTTTAATGGACCTTGGTATCTGGTTATTGACTTTTTAAGGTTCGTCAATGATTGTAATGCGAGGCCATTACATTCTCTAGTCCTCGTGACTAGAGAAACCACACATCGTGGATCAAGATTAGAATTCCACAGCAGAGGGAGAGGAAAGGTGGGCTTAAATGTATACTAGTCAAAATGTGCTCAGGAGATTTGAGAAAAAAAGGACTTAGACTAAGCACATTTAAGTTCTGAGCCTCACTACTAACTCAGAGGGCTGGCTGCAGGAAGAACTTGCTTTGCAGAGTAAACATAAATTCTTTTGTAAGTGAGAGGAAGAACCCTGGAAATCAAAGCCATTAGCATAGTACTTATTTTGGTAGAAGAGTACATTTTGTGTCTATTATCAGGCCTGTGTTTGCCTTCCTCCTGGGGCTCCCATGCCAGGCATATGGTAACTAGTTGCCCTTGAGTTGGTTCTGACTCACGGTGACCCATGTGTGTCACAGTAGAACTGTGCTCCATAGGCTGGTGTGTTTGGAAGAAGACTGCCAGACTTTCTTCTAAGGGGCCTCTGGGTAGACTCAACCCAACTGCCTTTAGGTTAACAGTTGAGCTTGTTAATAATTTGCGTCTCTCCCAGACTCTCCCAGAGGCTAAGGTTTGGGGTTTTGAGCTTGGTTGGGGCAGAGGTGATAATCTGATTCTAATGAGTCAAATTAATCATCAAAACTACCTGACAAGGATGATGGATATGGGTGGTGACAACCCAGATCACCCCCATGAATATAATATTCTCATTAAAAATTTAAAAATTAATAATAACAACATAGAAAAGGAAAATAAATGCAAATGACATTCACAGCACAGCCATCCAGACATAACCTCAAAAATGCCTTCTGGGACTATCTTGTTAATACTAATTATATATAAATAGTACCCTGCTTGATTGTGTGTGTTTGTGCCTTGGATCTCTTGCCACATTAATAAATATAGATCGGCATCAGTGTTAAGAGGCTGTATAGTATTTCATTGTATGGTTGGGCCATATTTTAATCCGTCTTTGTTGATGGACATGTAGGTCATTTCGAATTCAAAGCTATTAACAGTGAGATAAAGCATCTTGTACATGTGCCTTTGAGATAGGCATCCCGCTGCAGTGATCTGCTGGCTGCTTTTATTACACAATTGCCTAGCCAAGAGTAGAGACAACAGAAGCCCACATTATCCCTTAGCACTGTGCACAGCTCATTGCATTACAATTCATTTGTTATTTGCTTTTGTGTCTCCCTACCCCTCTTCCCACACAGTCATAATGGGCCCTCTGGTTAGGTGTAGGGTACACTATACTAATTTAGTCATGTTCTCTATCATTATTAGAATGGGCCGAGTTTAGATTGCTTCTGAAAGTAGATTGACAGTCAGCAGATTGGTCTCTGATTCTGAATAGCGAGTGAGAAACCACACTTATTCTAGTAGTGACGTGCCAGCGTGTATTGTGTTAACATAAAGTGATAGGGAAAGTGTCTATTTGCCTCATTTTAAAAAATGACACTTCACATTTATTTCTCACGAATGCAGACCTGTGAATACCAGGCCCTGTGCCCGCACAGGTAACGCAGAAATAGTTAAAGTCCCCACCCTCTAGGAACTTACACTCACATGGAGGGGGTCACAGCATTATAAAACAAAAACCACTGCCAGCAAGTCTGTTCGGACTTAGAGTGAACTTGGGTGCCAGCAGTGAACACCTAACTGAGAGTTAGTAGGAAAAGTTGGTTTGGGGATGAGAAAGATTTAAGATTTTGAGATTTAAGATATCCTAGTGTTGGATGATACTGTACAGTGTAAACTGAGGCCATGTATGTGGAAAGAGGAAGATCAATGGAATAAAGTCAAGGGACCATGATGATAGGATGATGAATGGGTCATCTGGCTGAGTATTGAGTAGTGCTGGCTTCTAGGATATCAACTAATTGGTTCATTAGTTAATCATCTACTGAGCATCAGTACAGGGCATTGTTGTTATTTACCATAGAGTCAATTCCAGTTCATGGAAACCTCATGCATACAGAACAGAACTGCTCCATGGGGTTTCTTGGCTGTAATTTTAATGGAAATAGATCATCTGGCAGCCTTCTTTTCACAGTACCATTGGGTGGGTTCAAACTACCAACTTTCTGGTTAATAATTGAGCACCAACTGTTTGTGTACCACCTGGAAACTCTAAAAGAGGTTTTCCATGGAAGTTGACTGCTGAGGCCATCAGGACTATAGTATGAACAGATTTGGCAACTTAAACTTTTTTTTGAGGGCAGTGATCGCTCTTGCAATGTCCTTGAACGGCTAAAGCTGCAGGGCTTCTTCTGGTGAACACAGACTTCTGAGGAGCAGTCTGCCTGTACATCTTCCAACAGGACAGAGTACAACTGCTCCCTAGGGTTTCTGAGGCTGGGAATCTTTACGGAAGCAGACGGTTACTTTCTCCCTCCAAGTAACTGGTGGGTTAGAACCACAGAGCTTTCAGCTAGCAGTCCAGTGCTCCATCTGGTGAGCACATTGTTGTTTTTAAGTACTGTTGAGCCCATTTTGACACATAGTGACCCTGCATAGGGTTTCCAAGGAACAGCTGGTGGGTTTGAACTGCCAACCTTGTGGTTAGCAGTCCAACGCTTAACCACAGCGCCATGCTCTCAGGGACAGATCAGAATCATCCCAGGCAAATCCTTGGCTGCCTCAAGTGTCAGCGTTCCATCTGAAGATGGAATCATTTTCTTGGCTTTATGATTTTACAGTTTAGGGAAACAGAACTATAAGACTGATGATGATTAGAAACTCTCAAATGTGGCTTGTTGTCTTTACTAGATTAATGGAAAATTGGAATTATTGGGAAGTCTGTAATGTGTGAAACTGATCATTAAAAAAGCAGGTGGTGGTTACACTGACCAGAGGGATTTTAAGATCATTTAGTTAAGAGATTTTTTTCATTCTTCCTTTTAATTGTGGTAAAAATATACAAGGGAACTTTAAGAAGTTCATGGAAAACTTCCATTATTTTAATTCGTTTTTCCACAAATGTTTTGAAAGCCCCTTGTATAAAAAAAAAAAACAAAAACAAAAAACACTTGCCATTCCAGCCTTTTTTACCCATTAATTCAGTGGTATTATTCATGTTTACTATATTGTGTTAAAGGAGCTTTGGTAGCATAGTGGTTATGAATCGGGCTACTAACCTCAGAATCAGCAGTTCAAACTACCATCTGTTCTGTGGGAGAAACATGAAGCTTTCTGCTCCCATAAAGATTACAGCCTCGGAAACCCCATACAGGGTCGCTATGAGTCGGAACCGACTTCACAGCACATAACCACTATACCCATATTATGGTATGGTTAGCAATTTGAGGTTATTTGGGGTACACCTTTGAAAATTCTTATATAAACTGTGGACTGTTTACCCAGGGGAACAAAATAAAAAAGCATATATCTGCATAAATACAAAATTTACCCTAGCATCTCAAAGAGGTTGCAGATCCCCAACCTAAGAGCTTGTGATCTGATCCAGTATTGGATTTTGTTATGTAGACTCACCAAGATCTGTACGAGGAAGTGATACAGTAGCTATGAAGGTTGCATAGTATTGCTGGTAAGCTTTTCCTAAAGAAACATTTTCTTTCTTTCAGCACTGGCTGGATCATTCCAAACCCATAAGAAAGCAGATGAAAAGTAAGTGAAAGGAATTAAGCATACTCATTTATTTCTTTTCTCTTGAGCATAAACTCCTTTGCCAATGTTTTGAGGTGTTATGTTTTCATTAGAACCTGGAAACATTTTAAAAATAGATCCAGTTTTAAGTGGATGATTATTAATTTCTTAAGGCTAGCCAAATGTTGGCATTTAAAATTTGAATAAGAGTTTTTAGTAGATGTTAAAAAATAGACTATGCACGCATTTGAAATAAGATGCCCTTGCCAGTGAGAACTGATGCATGTACTATACAGAAACAATTTTACACCTATTCAGTTTCAAATGAGTTACAAAGTATATTCAGAGACTGGTAGAGCGGGAAGCATCTTGGATTGTCTATCGAGTCCAGCTCTCTTTATAATTTAAAAATATACATAGGTATACATATACTTTATATGGAGTCCTCGTGTGGTGTTATAGAATAAGCACCAGACCACAAGGTTGGTTTGAACCACACAGTTTGTGGTTCAAACTCACCAGCCACTCCTCGAAAACCCAATACAGGTTTGTTATGAATTGAAAACTGACTTGACAGCTCTTAACAGCAACAACGACATACTTTATATATAAAGAACATATATGCTTATATACTTATATATACACATATTTATGCTCCCTGAAAAAGTACTTTGAGGTATTTTTACCATATTTTTAGATTTCAGCACACATTGCTGCCCCTTCTTTAGCCCACTTGGTTTTTGTAAAAAGTAAATATCAGTTTGGAGTATCTTGACATCAGACATGAAAGTTAAATGTCAACTGTTAGTAATTTATTTAGATAATTAATTTTTGTTTTGCTCCCCCCCAACGAAGTTACTAGTCAGCACAAAAGTACAAAAGTCCGTGTTAGTTTTCCACACTACGATTGAAAAGAACTTTCTATCTTTGCATGTCCTGTGGTATTTTCCTAACATAGCTGTGAATTTGTGGTTAATGTATTTTTCCTTTTGTCCATTCTGTGATCTTCAAAACTGGGGGAAAAAAATCTGCAAACTTCAATCTCCAAATGTCTAGTTGGACCTGCTTATGCTTTGCACTTTCGGGTTAAATACTATTCTTCAGAACCGAACAACCTGCGTGAAGAGTTTACAAGGTAGGACATGGTGCAGAACGAGACTCCCCACTGTTGCACTCACCTTACATGTAAAGAATAGGTCTTCTAAATTTTGGGTTTGCCTCCCCTTCCATCTGCTGTCTTTATTTCTTGGAACAGGAGTTCACACTTTGCCTGTGCTTATCTCTGTAGTCTGTTGAAAATCTATAACTTAGTTTGACCTTTTTTTTCTTAGTGAATAGAAATGATAAAATTTACTTTCTTGTCAGACCTTTATTTTCTTGGGGAAAATGGTTAGGCTTTCGATAACTCGTAATTTTGCCTTCAGCTACAAAAATGAGAAGGCAGGCACTGAAAGAGCAGTTCTTGCCTTTTTTTTCTGAGGGACTGCAAAATATCCCCGTGTGTGTTACAGTATAAGGAACTCTCTGTTTAAAATAGCTATATGCATGACCATAGAGTTATTTGAATTCCTTCATGCGATCTTTCAACTCAACTGAATTTCCTGTTTTACGTGCCTCTGTCTCATACATATACATCAGAAACAGTGCACAAACAAAAGGGATTAAACATTTTTAAAGTATAATGTTTCCTTTTACCCAGCCTTCCTTCAGTGAAATTCTCTGCCTGGAGAATTTTACCTGCTTTTGCTATCCCCAGAGTCTCCTTATAATTGTATGATGCACAGTTGTTGGTGACATCAGCTAATGGGTGGCCCAAGGTGGTGGTCACTAGCTTGGAGATGAATGCCTAAGATATGCTTTCCAGACTGACCATTTATCACCATTCCCCCACTGGGTGGTTAGGTTTTCTTAAGTTCTGGGCACGTCAGCACTGTGTCCTCCATGATGTGAGTACGCAACATGGTACCCTGACTTTCAAAAAGTGAAGTGCAATGGTGGTTTATTAAGCACCTGTTGGGAATCTGGAACATGCTGGAATATACTAGATCCTTCAGGTCCCCCACCCCTCTTACAATTCTGGGTTACCCATATTCTATCTCCAGTCCATAGAGAGTGATTATCTAGCATTGTTTTCAAAGTTCAAACAAATGAGATTCTTCTAGCATTCCTCTTCAGAATCCTTTAAGCTGCTTCTAGCTGTCATCAAAGCCAGTGGTTCTTAACCAGGACTGTGTGAATCAGAAACACCTAGGAAGCTTTTGAACCATTCAGATTCCTAGGGACCACTCCTGTGTGTAATGTTTTGATTCGTAAGTATGGAGTGGTGCGTGGGCTGCTTCAGTATTTACAAAGCATGACAAGTAGTTCTGATGCCCACATCCTCCTGGTGAAAAATCACTTATTTAAGCCAGGACACTTATTTTTTACCTAATCGAACTCCACTTGTGTTATTTGCTGTCTTTCCTCCCGCATCTTTCCTTACCGCTATAAATGATGGCAATACAATTGCCAGAGTTTTTTTGTGTGTGTGTTTCTTTGTTGTATGTATGCGTGCTTGTCTGTTTTATTTAAAAAAAAAAAGAAAAAAGACTGCAGTTATACTGCATCAGGAAAAACGCCTCCAGCTATTGCTAACCACAGTCAGCTGTAAACTTTTCGATATAATCAGCTGCAACCTCTCTGGAATCTGCCGGTGGAGCTGGCTGAGGGCCTAGTCCCGTGACTCCATCCTGCCTGTTTTATTGGACACGTTGCATGCCTGTGTGCCCTCGCTGATGCTCTTCTCGAGCTCCCAGGGGATTGTGGAAGCACTCATTGAACTGAGTGTGGTATTCCATGTTCCATCCTACCAAGTATCTTTTCAAATTCCGTACATACCCTCACCTTCCTAGTCGGGCTCTGAGACAACCTTCCTGGAGATTCAAGGGGTGATGCTTCCACCAAAATTCTCATTTGATTTGGACTCCCTTTTTGCAATGTGAAATTCTAGGCTGTGTGTAGAGGGGTGGGATGTGTGATGGGTAGTTGGGGATTGGAAATGACTGGGCAAGAGTTATCCTCTGTTGACTTTTATATATGTTTGTCAGGTACCTGTTTGTTTTACAACTCAGGCATGACATTCTTTCGGGAAAGTAAGTATGTTTTCATCCTAACTCTCAACCCAGGATAGATCACCGTATATTTAAAAATAATTCACTGTTTTAACTCTCTCACCCTTGTTCCCTTTTCAAAATTCAAAAAAAGTGCACCAGGCATTGTAAAGTGAGTCTAATACTTGTATCACTGTCATCATCATCCTATTTTAAATGATTACTATATGGCTTGAAGCATTTCCAAGAGCATTTAATATCTTAAGTGATGTGTATTTGGGAATAATTCTCTCCCTAATCACATCACTGCCCCATTCATAATGGCTTTTGTTGTATTTGCAAGCAAGATACCTTATTAGTATGTATACACTTACAAGTCTTTGGACAGTCAAAAAATCTCATTCATTACCATCTGCATATAAGTAATATAAAGAGGTTGTGCTCTGATTCCAATAGAACGAGGTTTAGACATTTCATTTTACTTTATTTTCCCTTTAAAAGATGGCTTTAAATACTAGGCCTCTGGCGAGATGATTTAATGATTGTTGGGCACGAGAAGCATTGGCACTGACGTGGTAGTTGATTTTGCATACAATATTAATTTATTTTAAAGATAGGGAGATTTCAGCAGTCATAGCTTTTTCCAACATACGTAGTGAGTATTTTCTATCATGAAAAGCTAAGGGTATGTTGAGCCTAATAAGCAGTCCTTGATACTAACAAGAATACATTTTTGTATCTGATTTTTAGTATAATTGGAAGGAAATTTAAAATGTAATTTTAGAATTTGCAAACGCTCAGTAGAATAAACTGTGAAAATCTCAGTGCAATGTAGACGATAAGACGTGTAGATTGTACAGTGTATACATTTGCCTTATTCAGCTATGCACTACAGATCTTTGGTTGGTGTGTGTATTATGAATGTGCGTGTGTGTGTGTGTATTTTGATCTCTCTCTCCATACTGTGCTCCCCATACTAAAGGTCACTCAACCCTACAAATTGTCTTCAGTTTGGAAAAATAGTAATGGCAACACCTTGCATTTGTACAGTACTTTACAGTTTATCTGCACTTCAGCCTGATTTTCTGTACTTGAGAACAAGATGGTGTTCTAGTCCCAGCACTGCCTCCTGCCAGCTGATGACCATGGGCATGACACCTAAACACTCAGGTCCTCACCAGTAAAATGGGGGTAGGGAGAGCGTACCTTGGCAACACCCATCCTAGGGGTTTTAATTAATTCAGTGCATTAATACATTGGCTAATATATAAAAAAGGTTTTGAAAACTATGAAGTGCTATACTAATGCATGTCATCATTATTTTTCTAACTAAATTTGCAGTATTAAGTAGGAATGCAGTCGCTGGATTTGTAGTAATATACTTCAAAGGCTGTGTCTCAGTTGTACTGTTAGAATGTTTGAGTGTATCTAAGTGTCCTGGAAGTGTTAGAAATGATGTCTCTGTATTTATTTTTAACAGTGTGACCTTATCCCACGAAAGTTTTAAGGCAGCTTGGAAAGACACATGCACGTTAGCAAGATAAAATAATTTAAGTTGTAAAATAACAAGGCACTTAAGTCTAGACTTATTGAACCAGTTGAGACTGGAGGATTCTCTAAGACTGTTGCCCTGAGAAACTCTTTAAACCTTGAACCAAAAGATGAACCACAAGGTCATCTTTTTAGCTAAATGACAGATTGGCTCATAACAAAAGCAGTATCAACTGTGAGTATTGTACTTCAATGAAATAAAAGCATTCTTTAAGAAATCAGTGAGACTGAGCAGTCAACACTTATTCTAAAGCAAAGATGAGCTGAAGAAGGGGACAGGGACACTAGATTACTGGAAATGGAACAGCCAGAACAGAAATAATGAGAAAGTTGGCACACTGTGTAAAATGTAACTAATGTCACTGAACAAATTGTGTGAAAATCATTAAATATGAACCAAAATTGCTATGTAAACCTTCATTGAAAACACAATAACATATTACTGAATAATAATACAAAGGAAGACTTTTCATTCTATTTTCCAAACTCCCCCAATCTTGCCAAATTCTATAAATTGTTTGCAGGGTTGATCGTGACTATGCATAGATTAGATTCTTTTGTTATATGGTAAGGTCTAACTCGGGGAAATATGTGGTCAGATTGTTGGCGTTCTTTGTTACGGATAGCAAAATATCAATGATACAGATTAAAAGTGATTAGCACTATCTTTTGTAAAACAATTTTAATGAAATTTTGTATGTGTATGAATATATTTAAGTGCATCTTTACATTAAAAAAATTTTTTTTTCTTTTTTCCAAGATTGAAATGCCCTTATGAAACTGCTGTGGAATTAGCCGCACTCTGTCTACAAGGTACGTTATTCTTTTAGTAGTAATTAGTGTTGTAATGTTATTGCTTTTCATTTCAACTAATTAGTGTGTACAGTGTTGCAGGCATTGCGCTATACTGCAGGGATAGCAATGAGTATGATATGATCTCTTTCCCCAAATAGCTTCTAGTCCAGTGAGGAAGGCCTTCCAGAATAGAGAGGGAGGCTCAGAAGAACAAGACCTGTAGGGAATGAGTAGATTTCGATGAATAAAAGAACCAAGACACAAAACAGAAAGAAAGGGCAGAGAGGTACCAACAGACTCATGTTGTTAGAGCGTGAAGTTCTGAAAGCTAGACAGGTGGATGATCTTGGAGCTCGTGTAAATGGCAGAGTGCCATGCTATCAGGTAGGTGCCTTTGAAAACTCAGGAGGGGGGTGCAGGTTTGGTCAGATGTGCATTTTAGAAAGTCCATACTGACTGTGGTGGGGAGAAGGACTGGGGCTGGGGGTGTGGTAAGGAGATATTGGTATAATAGAGGGAAAAGGAAATGAATGAGTTCTGATTAGCTCATCGATGCAGGGATTTAACAACAAAAAAGGTTTCGACTTTGGAATAGAGAAAGGAGTCCAGGATGACTCAAAGGATGCTCTCGGGTATGTGGCAGCAATGATGATTGGTTTCGAAAACTGGGCTCCAGGGGAAGAGATGGTCTGTTGCCCAAGAGGTACATGCGGATTCTCCATTAACTCCTTGAATCTCTGATTGCCCGGTCAGCAAAGTCAGGCCAGGCCAGAAGCATCAACTCAGGAATCATCGCTGTGTGAGTGTAGACTATCTCAAGGTGTGCCTGCATTATTATCAATGTTGACTGTTTCATCCAAATGACACATCAGTGGGTTTTCGTTTAAAATGTATGCAAAACACTTGCTGATGTCTCTAGCATGAATTAAGTGAAAAAGAATGTAACCACGCATAAGGAATTTCATTAGGTTTGCAGATAGACATATGTTGTGAACTCATTTAACAGTATGTTCTGTTTCATTATGAATTAAGATGTCTTCATTCCTAATTAGTAATTATTTATTCACACCCTGATAAAGTTTGGCTTCCCACTTTGGTATTTTACCAAGTTTTAAAAGTTGATCTGAGAAGGTTTTTTAGATTATAAGATCAGCACATAGTTATTACAAGCTATCAGGACAACACAACATGCCAGAAAGTACAAGGAAGGAAGTAACCCACCACCCAGAGACAACCCAAGTTGCTATTTATCAGTTGTTACTGGAGTTTCAGAACTGGACTGCGAACTACAAGGTCAGCAGTTCAAAACCCACCAGCTACTCCTCAAAAACCCTATACAGGGTCACTGTGAGTCAGAATTGACTCGACAGCACTTAACAACAACTGTGGAGTTTTAAAAATGTAATTATGATTATAGTCATATGTATGTACATTTTTTTATGACTTTTTAAAATCTGGTCACTTTCGATAGACGTGTTTTGTCAAAATGTTTGCTCTCATAAAGATGGTTTTTAATGACTGCGAGAAAATGCCATTACCTGACATTTCCATTGCTTTGTTACCTTTTAATTCTTATTACCTAATGGGGGCTTGGAGTGCTGGTGGTGCTGTGGGATAAGCACTGGACTGCTAACCATAAGGTCAGAATTCAACCCCCCTGGCCACTTTGTGGAAGAAAGATGAGGCTTTCTGTATCTGTAAATATTTAATCTCAGAAACCCTATACAGGATCACTATGAGTCGTATGGCACCTACCAACAATAACAATGGGGTCTTGGCATATTGTAGGTGCTCAGTAAGTACAGAATGATTTGAATGAATACAATTGGAGAGAGCCCCCCAGCCCATTCCTTTCACAATCTCTCATGAAGAGGGAACCGGAAGGTGCTGGTGGTGGTAGATATGGTGATGACATCATCTGTGACCTCCTGTGCTAAGTGCTAATATCCATGTTCCCCTGATACTCCCAGCAGCCCTTATGGTCAGTACCATAGGGATGTGCATGGCTAAGGGACAAGGCAGTGGTCCCTCCACTTTTTGCTCTAGCCTTTGGCCAGCTACTGATTCATCAGTGCTTAATTACCTTAATTAGTGACCTTTATCACCTTTGAGTTCTAAATCACTACATCTTAGCAGGCCTGGTGGTTGAACCATAGGTGTCAGGTGTAGTTTGATGGGTTAAAAGTCAGACTTGAGGCCAGTTTTCTGCTGGAGAGTGGCTGCTTCCTAAGGCTATTGGAATAACATGGCAAGCTTATGTGCTGCCTTCTACCATTTCATTCCAGGCACCCATTGGCATTGCTCTCCCTTCCTTCTGCCCCCACACACCCCTGTGTAATGAGACATCACCACACTCACAAAATTCAGACTCTAGAAGAGCTTTTGCCTGCCCCCAGAGGACAGGCAACCAAGAATGAGGTCGGCTGTCTGCGAGGATTTCTTGGAGAATTACCCATTTGAATGGGAACTAAACAGTGTTGTTCTAAGATGTACTTACTACGTCAGGTACAAAGGAAGACTTTGAAGACTTAGACACAAACTGGGGAAGCTCTTGTTACATTGACCCTCCGTGCCCCCACCTCACACCTATGGCATCAGTAAATGTTATATAGCACACTTTCCAGTTTAACCATATCCAAGCCTCTGCCGATCAATCATTGTTAGAGTTTGAAGAAAATTGTATTCCCTCCTATACTTGAGCCTTAAAGACATGTCTTGTGGTGTTGCCTTGAATTAATGGTACCTCTAGAGTTGTGTGATGTGGTGACCCTGCATGTTGGCAATGCTCTTTGGGTAACAACATTTATGGTAGATTTGAAAAATTAATTCAGGGGGGAAAAAAGGAAAGAAAAAGGAGGAAGGAGGGGCAATGCCCTTGATCTTGATTTTTCCTCGTAGCATTCTGTGTTAATGGCTGTGGCAGCTGAGACAACAGAGCTCCAGACAGGTTAAGTGTCTTGCCCTCTGTTACACAGTTGTTGTTAAGACCATCAAGTCGGTTCTGACTCATAGTGACGCTGTGTAGGGTTTCTGAGGAACAGCTGGTGGGTTTGAATTGCTGACCTTGTGGTTCGTAGTCCAGTGCTGGTCCACGGTGCCACACCAGAAGCCCACAATAGTAGAGAGTAATGTTGGGAGTTAAGCCCTATGGGCTCTGAGCTCTTTCTGCCCTGCTCTCCAGGCTCCCAATGTTGAGGTTAAAGACTAGGTAAATTAATTGTCCAGCTTTGCCAGTGGTTCCTGAAAGTCAAGCATTGCTACATCCCGGTGGCTGTATCAGGCATCATTCAGGCCTGCTTTAGTCCAGTCATGGAGAGAAAGGACGTCGGGCCCTTTGCCTGGTCTCAGCCCAGCCAAGGAGCCTTGTAACTCCATCTGGTGATTCCATCTCAGGGCTTGATGATGTCTGTGGCACAACTAACCCAGCCTCTTTCAGAAACATGGCAAAAAGCAGGACTCCCTTACCTCACTATAGTTCATGGGGCAGGAGACCAAGATCAAACACACTCATGGCCACCCTGTACAGCAGCACAGAACCTCGTCCTTCTCCAAGGAGCAGGTGGTAGATTCGAACTACAGACCTTGTGGTCCAAGGCTTATCCCACAGCACCACCAGGGCTCCTTGGTGTAGGAGAAAGGTAGTTTGTTTCAAGGGGAACTTTTCTTGCCAACTCTCTGGTTTCAGGGTGCCCTGTTGGGCAGAGAGGTCAGTGGTACCCACCTTGGAATCCCAGCCCTCACCCTGTATGCTGGGCGAATTGTTTTTCCCAGAGCAGAGTCCTCATTTGTGACTTGGCCCAAGTACACCCAGCTGCACACACTCCCAGGCCCAGACTACACTGGGCTTTGTCTTTGAGGTGCAGTCCTGTTCAGACAGCACCGCATGGTCAGACAGTGGGCTGCAGTCAGGGAGGTATGGTCCCCAGGTGCCCATGGTGTGTGTCAGACACTGCGTCTCATACAGCATCCCACCATCCCTTAGTCTGGTGCAGTTGCTTAGTTTGTATGGTTGGGAAGTTGTAGCTACTTCTCTTATAAGCCAATAGGAGCCTTTCTTCTGAAAGGTGGTGGAATGGGAGGGGTTATGCAAAAGTCCCATCCCCTACTTGGAATGTTCCAAAAGTGGAAAGAGCTGCTGGTGGGGGTGGGGTGGGGTGTTCAAGCATGTGCTGGTGGGTCACTTATGGGATTTGGTGGGTTAAACAGTGGTTCTCGGCTGTTTGGGCATTGCCTGGGAATTTGTTATAAATGTAAATTCTCAGTCAGGCCTCCCTACCTAGACCTAGGGAATCAGAATTGCTGGGGTGGGGGTGGGTGGCAAATCCCTCCAATTGATTCTAATGCATGCTGAAGTTTGAGCATGCTGAAGTTTGGATTAGTGTTTCTCAAATTGTAATAGGTACACCAGTCACCTGGACATCTTCTTAAAGGCAGTTCTGACTCGGTAGAGCTGGGCTGGGGCCTGCGATTCTGCATTCTGAGCAAACTCCCAGGTGCTGTGGATGCTATTGGTCTATGGACCACACTTTGAGTAGCAAGGTATTAGATCACCTGGGAGACTCCTTAAGGAGCCTTGGTAGTGCAGTGGTTGAGTGCTTGACTGCTAACCCACAGGCCAGTGACTTGAATTCGCCAACCACTCTGTAGGAGAGCGATATGGCAGTCTGCACTGGTAATGATTACAGCCTTGGAAACCCCATGGGACAGTTCTCTGTCCTGTAGTCTGTGGGGGACTTAGCAAGAGAAGGACCATGCGGCACTGTTGGGGTTTTGCCCTGGGTTGGCACGTGTCTCTGCTCCTCTCTCCTCCCTCCCAGTGCTGCCTGAGTTGCTGCAGTTGCTCCTGCAGCCCTCCCTCCCTCTCTCCCTCTATCTCTATTTTCCCTGGATTCTGCATGTATCCAAGTCCTGATTGGTCCTCTCCAGCACTGCAGACCCTGAAGGGCTCCTCTGACCTGCCTTTAACAAGAGCCCTGTGCCATGGATGTTTCTAGGCAGGTCCTTACTCCCTGCAATTGGCTTTTATTGCAAATGCAGAGCTCTACCACTTCGTGGGGAAAACGTAATGGGAGTCTCAACTGGGTAGGAGAATCAGTGGGGAGAAAGACAGTAATAACTAAGATAATGTGTATCACCCTGTGAGGGGCCATTAGTGGGACTCTTGGGGATTCAGAGTGTGCATGTGGGTTCTGAACAGGAGTTACATCTTCCTGAAGAAGAAAGGTATACATCAGGGGGGGTACCTGTGCTTTGTAATCATGCAAACTACCTTTGGACCTGGTTGTTAAAAAAATTCTCACTTTTTAATAACTGAAAGCATTAAATGCCTCCTTTTTTCTCCCTTTATGAAACTTGCAGCAGAGCTTGGCGAGTGTGAGCTTCCGGAACACACCCCAGAGCTTGTGTCTGAGTTTCGGTTCATTCCAAATCAGACAGAAGCAATGGAATTTGATATCTTCCAGAGATGGAAAGAGTGCAGGTACCTTGATGCTAAGCTAGCATTCCAATAGATGTGTTTACTTTTCATATGTAAGCAAGCGTTTGTCAGAATCTCCTCTTCACCAGTAGAATCGCTCTATTGATGACTCTTTGCTTCTCTCCTCTGCTTGGGTCCTGTTTTCCCTAAGGCCCAAGCATCTTTGCTCTTTTAAGAGCTAGTCAGCAGGAACCAGACCATGCGCTTTTCTCTGAAATACAAAGTCTGGTCCTGGGTTTCACATTGCTGCCAGGCTGGCCGCTCAGAGAGAGTGTGGGTGCCCTGCCTTGACACACACCCTTCTCACCTGTGTCTCTAGTAACCGCAAGACCAGAATCTTCCAGATCAGACCTTTAGGAAATGTACCCCTTATGAGGGTATTCATAGTTAAGACCATGGGAATGATTGTATTTCAGAGAGTGTGATCACTCTGCCTTTAGGCTTGTCATCCAACCATGTCATTTTCCTCTTTGCTTGCTACCCTCCCTTTTCCCATATAATCACCACTCAAGTCTCAAGCTGGCCTTGCCTGCTGGACTGGTACCTCCTTTTTACTCTCTGACTCCCCAAACTAGCCTTTCTGCCTTCCAAAACTCTTCCCCAAACTGCCTCTTCCAAGTCACTCTCAAACTCAGAAACTTATCCTGGTTGCCTTCTGTCATTCAGTCCTTCTTAAAGAGTCACAGAACTTTTTTCTTAAACAGAAAGGTGACTGGCTTGGTGCATTCTCATTTTTCATAAAATTGAAACAATATAGAATTTTGTGGATATTGAGACACACACACTCACACACATACACACACACACATACACACTGCCCCACTGCACTCTCTCTCTCAGAAAGAAGCCCTAATAACTGGCTGTTATGTATTCTTCCAACCCCCTCTTATTAACAAATTTGCCTGCTTGTATCCACACCTAAAGCTTTATTTTGTTTGATGAGCTAAGCACTGTTGGGTGATCTTCCTATTAAATGCACAGCATGTTTGTTGTTGGTGATATTTTGTGGTTAACATAAGGTGATTTCCCTTCTTCCTTTAACTGCTACATAGATCCCATAGCACGGGGGGTGTCCTGACTTGTGTAAGTTTATGAGTTGCAGTTTACATTGTATTTCCATTGGTTTTTCTAAGGGGAAAGAGCCCTGCCCAGGCGGAACTCTCATATCTGAATAAAGCGAAGTGGCTGGAAATGTATGGGGTAAACATGCACGTTGTCAGGGTAAGAGCTGTGTTTGTTTCATTTTGTTTTGGGTTACTGAGATATGTGGAAACAATGTGCAAACAAAGTAACATGGTGAGGAAACTGTTTTTCATTCTGCTCTGTGACGACCTGTTAGAACCCTCTACCGACTGTCACTTCGTTTGTTTGTAGGGAAAAGATGGCTGTGAATATTCTCTTGGACTGACGCCGACAGGCATATTAATCTTTGAAGGAGCTAACAAAATAGGCTTATTCTTTTGGTAATTTAGTTTTGTCTGATATTAAAAATGTCTTTTCCTATTTTGTGGTGGAATTATATGTGATGGATGATTAGTGAGGGATGTTTGCAATACCTAAATTTATTTTTTAAATACATCATGCTATATTGTATTTGTGGGTGAATTTCCAAGAAACTTCTAGGTTCACATGCTAATGAGTGCATGGTTCTAAAAAAAACAAACAACCAAATTTAACACTCAAAAGTAGAAAGAAAACTGCTGTTGGATATATAGATAGTTTTGCTGCAGAATGTACTTTTTAAAATGTTTTTTCTCTGACCAGGCCAAAAATTACCAAAATGGATCTCAAAAAGAGCAAATTGACAATTGTGGTGGTTGAAGATGACGATCAGGTAGGCCTCACTGTGGGTCCTCCTCCTGGCTGTGAATTCCCTGCTCACATGACAGGCACTCAAGTAAGCGTCTTGTGCTTCATCTTTAAGGGCCGTGAGCAAGAGCACACATTTGTGTTCCGGCTAGACAGCGCCAGGACCTGCAAGCACCTCTGGAAATGTGCCATCGAGCACCATGCCTTCTTCAGGCTTCGGACTCCAGGAAATAGCAAGTCGAACAAATCAGACTTTATCAGGCTGGGATCTCGCTTCAGGTTCAGGTAGGAACTATTTTTGCAATGTGGATCTCTTGTTTCCTGGAAGGGCAACGGTCATGTTTTTTTTCTGTGAAAAGAGGATGGATTTGGGCTTTACATCCCATCCCTGCTTTTTTTGTGTGATCTGAGTTTTTGCCTCCATATCCTCATGTTCCTACAAAATTAGGACTAGCTGACATTTAGCTAGCGGGAGGCTGCCCAACAGGGATCCCTGGTGGGTCTGTGGGTTAGACATTGGGCTGCTACCAGCAAGGATAGTGGTTTCAATCCACCAGCTGCTCTGTGGGAGAAAAATGATACTATTTGCTCCCCTCACGATATACAGTCTTCTTGTTAAGTGCCATCGAGCCGGTTTAGGGTTTCAGAAGAGCTACTGGTGAACTTGAACCATCAACCTTGGAGTCCTGGTGTGGTGCTGTGGGTTAATGCACCAGACGCAAAGCCGTTTGAACTGCAAGGTCGGCAGTTCATGCTTACCAGTCGCTCCTCGGAAACCCTACACTGGGTCACTTTGGGTCGGAACTGACTCTACAGCACTTAACAACAACAATACAGTCTTAGAAACCCTATGTATTGTCACCGTGAGCCAAAATTGACTCGATGGAGCAAGTTTGGTGTTTGGTTTATGTGCTGTCTGACAAATGAGGGCACTGGTAGTTCAGTGCTAGAACTCTTACATTCCATCCAGGACACCATGATTGGTTCCCAGCCAGTGCTCCCATACACAGTCATCATCTGGCTACCAGTGGTTCATTGTGGGTTGCTATGATGCTGAATAAGTTTCATGGATGCTCCCTAACTAAGCTGGACTAGAAACAAAACCCTGGTGGTCTTTTTCTGAAGTTCAGCCAATGAAAACCCTATGGGTTATAATGGTCAGACTTGCAACTTGTCATGGGTTGTTTCCATTTCTGTTGAGCATGGAGTTGCCTTGACTCAGAGGCCTGCTTGATGGCAGCTAACAAGAACAGCATGCTTTCCATCATGGTAGCCACTAGCCACGTGTGGCTCTGCAAATTTACGTTAATTAAAGTTGTTAAATTGTAGGCTCTAATTCTTCAGTCTCACTAACCATGTTTCAGGCTCTTCATAGCCACATTGCTGTTAAGTGCTGTCGCTGTGTAAGGTTTCTGAGGAGCTGCTAGTGGGTTTGAACTGCCAACCTTGCAGTTTATTCTAACGATGGTGGCTACCATATTGTACAGTGCAGATACAGAATGTAACATCATTGTTGGACAGTACTGTGCTAGATAGAGCTTCTAATGTATTAACTCTTAATTCTCAAAGCCTCCTTAAAAAAAGGTCATAGGTACTCTAATGGTCACCATTTACAAATATGCAAACTAGGGCCAGAGAGGTGACACAATCTGCCAGAAGTCACACATAGCGAATAAGTGGTGGAGACAGACTTTTAACTTGGCGGTCTGACTCTTATATTTCTAACCACTGCTATGTTGCCATCTGCCCATGTTGGGAAGTTGGGTCATGATTAAGAATGAGAGCAGGTGTCAGTGTGTTTATGTCACCCAGGGTGGGCTCAGTTAATGTTTGAATCTGACAAGATCCTGAAGAAATGGAGAGCTTAAGTCTGTAGTATGTATTATGGTCCCAAGACCATGCTTCTCAAACATGTGCATGAGAACTCCCTGGCATTGGTGCAAATGAGGATTTGCCTCGCCTGAGACCTTGGCGATCAGAGTCTGTGGGTGTGGACATGTGTGTGGAAGGACTGGGCATATGCATTTAAAATGTGTCCAGGATTGATTTCTGAGGCAAATTTTCAGGTCTGTGAATCGCTAGTACAGGCTCTAACATTTGGCATGGTTTTATAACCTCTACCCACACATGGCACATCCTTGAACCTTGTTTAAAATGCCAAGAGATCTGCTCCTTTCCAATCTATCTACTGTGTAAGGAAATGGCTGTGTGCGTCTGGTTAAAGAAATATTTTTGTTTGAGTGTATTTTTAAGTGCTCCAGGGGGAGAAAAAGACCAAGTACTTTTTGAGAAAGAATCAAATCACAGGCTTCTGTGGTGGATATAAAAAGTCAGAACTGCAAAGGTTAACAGAGACGCAGCACAGGTTGCGGATACCGTCTACAGTTGGAGTGAGGAGGGAAGGGCTGTCAGGTGGTTACCATGGCAAGCTTTTCCCTCCTGGGAGCACACTCCCCCAGGATTCGGCCGGCCAGGCTCCCTTCTGCTCTGCGAGGAGAAGAACAAGGAGAAAGGGGAGGTTGGAGATGAGGTGGCCCAATGGGGAGGCACTTAGAATTCAGAGTAGGTGGCAAGGAGGTCCTTCCCTCTGATAAATCATAAACCAAGAATGACTGGGATACCACAGTGTAGTGGGTGGCCCAAACCAAAACAGCATGCCTTCTAGAAGCTACATCTTGGTACTGTGTTTTTTAAACCCAGAATGATCTGGTACAAAAATAATATTTTCCTTAGCATAGCAAAGAAAGCCAAGGTTTAGTTCAGTGGCCATTGATAACAACCTTTAAAAAGATGAATTAAATGTGTATGTAGCGTCTTTTATTTTAAGAGGTGGTTTTATATGCTAATCAATGTCTCTCTGTCAAATGTTGCAAGTACTAGTAACTGCTTAGTACATACAGCCAAGTTTTGGGTACTGAAATTGCAGGTTTCATCCCTGGTTGGAAATTTGATGTTGTTAGTTGCCATCAGGTCATTTGCGATTCATGGTGATGTTGTGTAAGCAGAATAGAACAGTGTACAATATACAGAGTAGAACCGTGTGCATTATACAGGGTAGAACCGTGTGCATTATACAGAGTAGAGCCGTGTGCATTATACAGAGTAGAGCCGTGTGCATTATACAGATTAGAGCCGTGTACATTATACAGAGTAGAACCGTGTGCATTATACAGATTAGAGCCGTGTACATTATACAGAGTAGAACCGTGAACGTTATACAGAGTAGAACCTTTCCAGGTTGTGACTTTTCGGGAGTAGATCAACCAGCTTTACTTTCCAGCACCTGTGGGTGGTTTGAACCACCAGCCTCTCCATCAGTAGTCCAGTATTTTCTCATTTGCACCACTCAGGAATTCACTGCCCCAATAATATAGGCTAGATTTGGCAGAAGTGAGTTTTATTTCAATGTGGAAGGCTAAATTTAGTATGTTTCTTCCCATGCAAGTTCAAGACAAATTGAAATTCACATTGGAGCTCTTGAACATAAAAATTTACTTCTAAGTACGTATAATGTACTGATATGTTGATATTGGTAACATGAAATGAAATGTTTACTTTCCAGCGGGCGAACAGAATATCAAGCTACGCATGGGTCCAGGTTACGAAGAACCAGCACCTTTGAAAGGAAGCCCAGTAAACGCTATCCGTCTCGAAGACATTCCACTTTCAAAGGTTGTGCATTTTTCGTTCTGCCTTGGAATTTCACCTGATGATTGAGTGGAGCCCTGGGGAGCTCAGGAAAGCTGTTTGAGAGGGAATTCTCTGCAGTTCTGCTTCATCATGACAAAGCTTTTCAGAAAATCCCAGTACCCTTTCTACAGGAAGCACACCTCTTCTGCCATCCTGTGGTCCCTAGTCATCCCCTTTGGTTGCTCATTTCCTTCTCCCCAGTCCCGTCTTATCTTGTGCCTCGTTGCTTCTTCTGGATCTGGGACGAAGCCCTGGGCCCACAGGAATATTGTAGATAAACATATTACAGGAAGAAGATACTGTACCGTAATGGGAGAAACAGTCCCTTTTCTCTTAGTTCCCAGTATCAGATTCCTGGTGCTCACAGTTCTGACCTTGTCAGAGTAGATACAGCCACGCCTCGGTTTATTGGGGCTCACTGTGTTGCACTTCACAGATAGTGTATTTTAGTGCATTGTTCATTTTTTACACAAACTTAATAGTTTGTGGAGGAAACCCTCATTGAGCAAGTCTTTTAGTGCCAATTTTCCAGCATGTCTCCATGTCACGTTTTGGTAATTTTCACAATATTTCAAATGTTTACATTATACTGTACCCAAGGATGGGGTGGTACTTGGGATGGAGAGACTACTCCAGTGGTAGTCTCTCAGGCATGTCTGTATAAGAACTTTTCAATGCTTGGCTCACTCCTCAGCATCAGTCCAGCTTACACCTTTCCGTGGATATAGCCAGGCCCTCACTAACCCCAAGGCTTGTCTGTATCATTTGCTGTTGTGTTGTCACAGCTGGCAGTCGACCCGGTACCCACCACATAATCTGTCACTGAGTCAGTGAGCAAGCCATGCTCATTTCTATCTAAATCCTACCTCCAAATCCCATTTTGTAGTGTTCCCTTCTCTGTACTGGATTACTCCTCCATTCTGAATTCCTGCTGTAAAAGATAATGGATTCCCATAGGGGGAGGGGAGATTGGACCTGTCTCCACCCTCCAGCCTTCTTTGTCCTATTCTAACACCAACCATCCCTCCAATGGAACTCTACTTTGCTGCCAAGTTCGATCATTCATTGCAATGGCCACATAGAACTCAGACAATATTCATAGCTATGGGGTTTACTTGGAAAATTAGCACGTCACAGGTCAGGATCTGAAATGTTCAGGACACAGTTCTTTGGTCAGAACAGCCTCTTCTCAGGCAGGCCTCACTCTGGCCCCTGGCCCCTTGATCTTACTTACACCCTGCTTGGGCAATGTTACAAAGTTCATTTAGAGCTGCTGATAAATGCTCAGAGGGCACTCCACTCTGCTGTAAACTTCAGCCCCAACAAAGGTGCTCAGTTTGAGCTCTGTGGGTCAGCAAACCTGGCCCCCTGGATTAAGTACCTTGAGGTACCCCGTTCCATAATGAGCCTCCTGTTTGAAGGTTCTGAGCTTTACTTACTCCAAGGACCAGAAAGCTGAGTTTCTCTGCCACTCCTCTGGTTTCACAGATTTTTTCCCCTGGGTCGAGAAGGTTCAGGCATAGGTATCTTGGGACCCAAAAGATGTCCTCCACTCTTACTCTTTTTTCTGGATGTTAGTGAGATCCCCCTTCCTGCTTCTGAGGTGGCTCGTCTTAAACCCAACAGGATGACAAAATTGACCAGTCCTCTCTCATTTAAATTTTTAAGTTTTTACAGTCACTCACAACTGAATCATAGAATCCTATCAGCCTCTTCCCTCCACCTTCTTGTACCCAGATCCATCAGGAAGAGAAGAAATACAGCCAATCTGCATGGTCCCAACCAGTCATTTGGTGGGAGTTATAAAGACTATGTCTGATGTTGTTAAGTACAGTTGAGTTTATTCCAACCCATAGCGACCCTGTATAGGGAGTCCTGGTGTGGCGCTGTGGGTTAATGCGCCAGACTGCAAACCGCAAGGTCGGCGGTTCAAGCTCACCAGCTTGGAAACCCTATACAGGGTCGCTATGGGTAGGAACTGACTCGACGGCACTTCTTAACAGTAGGGTTTCCAAGGAGGGTTTGAACTGCCAACGTCGTGGTTCACAGTCGGTTCACAGTCCAGTGATGATCCTACAGCACCACACCCGGAGTCCAAGACCATGTCTAGAAGAGCCATATTAAATAAGACACTGCAGCTCACGTGGTTTCACAGTACGTTGTCCTTTTATAGGAAATCTTTGGAGGGCAGGGCCCCTGCATTCTAAACTCACTTCACCCTTTCTATAGCTTTGTGACTCATAATAAACATGCCATCCTTTTTTATTTTTCTTTGATTCACAAGGTTGGTGGTTCAAATTCACCAGCTGTTCCTCAGAAACCCTATACTGTGTGTTGGAACCGACTTGATGTCACTTAACAACAACAGGAGTTAATGGGCCTCCTTGGGAACCTGGCACCTAAATGTAAACACACCCTTCTTACAGTTTTTAACTTGTATTTCCCGCTCTTTTCTTCTTTCATGAACCAGTAGTGCACCAGTGTGGCAGCCAGATCTCTAAAGTCATCAACGCTTTTGTTGTTGTTGTTATATGTCGTGGAGTCAATTCTGATTCATAGCGACCCTGCGTAGGGTTTCTGAGGCTATACAGGAGCAGAAAGCCTCATCTTTCTCCTGCGGAACAGCTGGTAGTTTCTAACTGCTGTCCCTGAGGTTAGCAGCCTGATTTGTAGCCACTTATCAACTGCTTTAGTGGAAGGAAAATGCCCAGAGCCCAGGAACTGTACCCCACCTTAAAGACAGGCCTGATGGTGGAGCATATCTAGAGAAGGAGGATGAATTGATGAGGGACAGAGAAAGTGTAATTGTGGGAACTCTGGGAGTGGTGGGGAAGAGAAATTGTTTCAGAGGCTGTGTTACCCCTGTGGGGATTATTTTACTTGTGTGTATGGTTCACTGGGCCAGTTATCCGGAAACCAACTACTATAAGAAATAATTTTCTGATAGGATTTCTGAGAGAAAGAACAAGCTAACTTAAGACACTAATGATCTCCCAGCCCTTATCAGTGTATGCAGACACAACAGAAGTACCCCTTGTTGAGGCCAAGATGGCTTCAGCTCTGTGAGACCCAGATTGTAGAATTCCTTTCCTCTTTCCTTCTTGATCTTTCTCCTTTATTTTGCTGACTTTTTTTCCAGCCCAAGTTCTAGCATCTTTGTGAAGCTTTTAAGGGTTTTCTGTTTCTCAGTCTTTTAAATACAAAATGCTGTATAGTTAAATAAGCTCTCCCTCACCCCATGTCTCCCTTCCACACTGCCTCACACTGCCTCCCCACTCAGAAGTAACCGTTCTGAGTTTTGTGGCTACCAGAGTCATGCTTGTGTTTCAGCCTTTGTGACCTTAGGTTGTTTTCACTTTTACATGCCTCTCTGTCTCTCTCTGTGTCTGTCTCGAGACTGTGAGCTCCTTCAGAGCAAGGACTGTGTCTCTTGTCTCTGCACGCTTAGTACAGCCAGCGGGTGAGGTAAAATGCGCAGTGAAAGTTTGCTGAGTGAGTCAGAGGGAGAGGAGCACAGAGGAAAGGCCTTTTATTTTCCCTTAGAAAAGAAGAGGTAGCTAAGGTACAGATTCTGTCTACAGTGGATTGGGACTGCTCTGAGATCTCAGAAGTCTCTTCCATGTTATTGTCTTTCAAACTGCATGACAACAATAATTGGTCTATGTTCTCATGGAGCTATAGAGGAAGAAGAGTTCGGAAAAAGAAGAGGAAGTAGAAAGCATGGCTATGTTGCCTCCATGAGCAAACGCCATGCAGCCAGAAGCTTTGGATGGCGCTTGGCTACCATTTTGAGCAAAGATTCTGTAGAAGAATCCTGATCAAAAGGAAGAAATATACAGAACAGGATTTAAAATTCTCAAGGAATCCAGATTTTCTGGAACCTTGGAAGCTTTATCAACCATTGCTACTATCACCCTGAGATAATCTTTACTAGTTAAGCTAACCAATTGCTTGGTTTAAGGAAGACTTTAGGGGACATTTCTGGTGTAAGGTTTAAAGAATGTCTGCCGTAAGCAGCAGGCTGTGTTAAGAACCTATCTATGTGGGATCACATTGACCACAGGAATTCAAAAGAGCAATTTAAGGAACCTCAGGGGTCAGTGAATTGATGTTATGGGAGAAGAGCAATTCAGAAAAGGAGGGGGACAATAGTTGTACGCCTCAAAGAATGTAATCACTGTCACTGAATTGTGCATGTGGAAATCGTGGAATTGGTGTATGTTTAGCTGTGTATGTTTTCTCAACAACAGAAAAGTTATAATTGCTCTCTAAGATGTCATAACTTTTTTTCATTTTTCTTTTAAAGCAAGCAACCCCGTGATTGCGGCTCAGCTCTGGTAAGTGCCCCCAGACTCTGGGGTACAGCTCCTCTCTCTAATTATTCTAATTATTTGCAATGCTGACTTCCCTTAATGCAATTAAATCACAGAATGAGTCACCTGATAATCTTTCTGTTTTTCCTTTGTTTGTTTCCTGGCTATACCATCCTCCTGGTTTTCAATAAGTACACAAAGAAATAGTTCCAGGACAGTTTGGTTTGTTGTTGTTGTTGTTGAAAACACAGCTGCTCTGTTTGAGTTGCTTTGTGTATTACAGCAGTGATGATCAAGATGCTAGGAACGTGTGCAGCACATGGTGCTAATGGCCTTGCCGGCAGTGACAGGAACAAAGGCCACGCTCCTGCGCAAAAGCTGGATGAGAGCAAATGCTGAATTTGTTCAGCGACATGTATGTTTATAGTCATACGCGTACATGTCAAAGACATTAAATCCTGTTCTTGAAGTTCCCCAGGGAAAAGAACTTGCCAGAATGAAAGTGTAGCACAGGGGTCAGCCTGCTTTTCTGGCAAAGGGTCACATGGAAAATATTTTAGGCTTGGTGGGCCGTGCTGTTTCTGTTGCAACTGCTTAACTCTGTGAGATATAAAGGCAGCCGTAGGTACATGAAGGGGTGTTCAGTAAAGCTTCACTTTCAAGACTCAGTGAGCCAGTTTGGCCCAGAGGGCGTGGTTTGCTGACCTTTGCCCCAGCACAGGTGCTCTTGGTCTGTCCTATGTTCAAGTCGTCTGATGAGCTCTGACAAAGCCCAGAGTGCCTGGGGGTAGTGGGGAGTCAGGCATCTATGGGTTATTTTTGGGGTTTTTTCCAGCTCCCCAGGGAATTCTGGTGTCCTGCTTCGGGGAGAGCCCCTGCCTCCCTGGCCTGTGGTCATTTTTCTTCCTCTCAAACAACCCTTTTTCTTAGGTGGGTTCTGATGTGTTACAGCCCTGGTATGGCTGCCACTGCAAGATAATGAGCTGAACCACAAGGTCAGCTTGAACTACAAGGTCGGCAGTTCAAACTCACCAGCCACTCCTCAGAAACCCTATATATACAGGGTCGCTGTGAGTCGGAACTGTCTCAAAAGCATTTACCAACAACAACAGCAAACTATCATGTTAAAGAGTTACAAGCTATAGTAGTTTTGGCCCTGCATTTGGACACAGTTCTGTTCAGCCTTTTGGCTGTCCCTGACACAGGTCTCAGTCTGCCTGGGGCTGGAGAGGAAGTCTGTGAGATGAGAGGTGAAGTGTGCCGAGAGCTGTAATGTGGACGACCCAGCATGAGGGACGTGGGTTATGGATGCCTGCATTAAATGATCAAAACACTAGTGGAGGAATCAGCGACCCCCAGCCTAGCCCCAGCTTTGCTTCCACACCAACTCGGGCACTTTCAGCCTTCCCTTCTCAGCATCTCCTGAAAACATGGACTTTGAGCTACATCAGGATTTTGTTTTTAGTCTCTGATTTTTTCCCACCAGAAGCCCAGCAGACAGAAGTAGAGCTACTGGGCCTATGAAGCAGTGAGCATGGGGATTGAGGAACCAGTGTCTGCCGGCTCCCCTGTCTACTTCCCAAGGCAGCCCCAAGGCACCTTCAAGGAGCTCAGGGTCTAGAAAATATAATTTGATGAAATGATGATTTAGACTAACCCCTTGTATCTCACAGCTGGGAACCCCAACGCCAAACTGCTTATACTGCCAATCTGCTGGGGCTCATGCGTCCTGGTTCTTGTCTTGGGGTTCACTGGAGGGACTGGGCATCACCTCCTGCTCCGGAGAGTGGAAGAAGGTCTCTGGGTTCTTGCACAGGTGTACCCAGTTTCTAGGGCACCTCTAGCAGGTGGTGTGCTTAAAAGTATTTGTCCTTTCCTCAGTCTCTCAAGGTGCCTTGATTTGAATTCTCAGGGGTTTGTAAGCCACAGCATTTATTTCCTTTGCTCTCTAAAGAGGTGGTTTTTTGTTTGTTTATTTGCTTTGGTTGGTTGGTTGGTTTTTCCCTAATAAAATTCCATTTTCCTCTTAGCTTCTGGTGGAGATTATATGTATTGGGAATCAAAACAAACTTAAAAAAAAAAAATCTCTGCTGAAAATAAAGCCCCAGTAAATACACCCTTTAGGAACAAAATGAGCTAATAATCACTGTTGACAGCTGTTCAATTGCTCTCTGCAGCCTGGGGGCTCCTGGAGTGAGTGGGCTTGCTGTGGGAGACAGGGGCTAATCGTGCTCTGGACTGCAGGGTTCTACTAGGAAAGAGCCCCTCCCAAGACACTTACCTGCCCCATGAACTCCAGCCAGTTGTAGATCTAGTCCAGAGCTTAGCTCTGTGCTACTAGACCTCAGAAAACTGAGACACAGAACCTTCTAGAGCCAAGCAAGTAGGTTTCCCTCTCATTACGGGAAAAGCAATAAGCCTTCAAGCACGCCTAGCTAGGTCACCCAACAAGTGTGGCCATGTTTGTTTGTGGTTTTTTTGGGCCATGTTTGTGTTTTAAGCACATTGCACACCAACTTTTTTCATCTATCTATCTATATATTTTTTAAACAATACTTACATTTAAGATTCTATCAAAATAGGTTCATGTATAAGGAGCCCTGGACACGTTCTCGGGCTCTCAAAGTGTCAGCTCTCAAAGCATCCAGATGTTGGGACTGAATGGGTGGAGATTCCTTTCTAGTCCAGTGCTGTTGACCAGCCAAGTGACCCTGAGTCCTCTGTTAGACAAGCGTTTTCTTTATCTATAAAATGAGACTGTAACGTTTACTGACCTCGTATCATTGTTGTGTGGATTAAATAACAGATGTGATGGTCCAAGGACCAAGCTTTTAATGACATGAGCATTCCAAAGTGGTGACTACATCATCTGCAATATTCCAGTAGCAACTATGCCTATAGGTGGTTCCCACTGCAGTGTTTAGTGGTAAATACTCAGAAGTGGCTGTCCCTTCCAACTAGAGAAAGCGCTGGGCATCCGTGGAGATTCCTGGTGCTGTGGGCCACCCAGGAATGCCAGGGTAGACCTAGAATGGGAAATACAAAACATGGTTCACACAACCAAAAGGGCCCCCTCTTTCACCACCAAAACATTGTGTTATCTGCAGTATTTTGTAATATTATCGTACCTTTTTATTTGTGAGCTCTAAAGTGCTGAATAAAACTTGCTGTTTTATTTTCTGGCTTATATGTTAAACTAAGCAAGTAATAATATACCAGAAAGGAGAACAGTATGTGAAAGTTCCCAACACTGTAGGAAGTGCATTAGAGTAGCTTATAATATTTAAATAAATCAGTAATAATGCCAACTGGTTAAGTGATCATTTCTTTTCTTTTTGTTTTTAGCCCTAAACCAAATCCTGAAGTCCATAATTACCAGGTAAGAGGTTGTTTGTAAAGGTTCGCATGTAATACTTCTTTATATTTTCTCCTTTTTCTACATTGAGCAGTCATTATGCTTTTATTCAGATTTTGAAGAAATGTTAACAAGTGTTTGGTTTTTTTCTTGAGAAAATAGTAAGAAGAGAGCTCTTGCTGACTCTTCCTCTTGATCCTCTGGACTGGGTATGGTTTTTAACCTTGTCATATGGCGTAAGCATAGGCTTCAGGGTCATCAGACATCACCACTTCGAGGCATTGAAGTATGAGGCAGCTTTTGGTCAAAGTGTGTTCTAAGCCCAAAGAATACGAGTCCCACGTGGCGAGTTCACAAGAGGGTATCCTGGTCGTTTGTTTGGGAGATGCTGCATCCCTTCCTCTCCCTTCTTGGGTTTCACAGTGCCAACTGGCATGTGAAAGTACCGAGATATACCCTGCAAGAAATGTTCTCCGTTTTTCCCTTTATTGTGGTAAATATATATGCAGCAAAGCATTTGCCATTTCAACGTTCTTCACATCTCTAATTCAGTGACATTATCTTCATCCTGTCATTCAACCATTACCAGTCTCCGTTTGCAAATCTTTTTATCACCTTTAACAAGATTCAGCATCTCCTAAGCAGTGAGTTCTGTTTTCCCCTTCCCTTTTTGAATCTGGAGTTTCCCACAGGCAATTTGAGGATGAGACACCCTCCCCACAAAAAAAAACACAAAAAATCTGGCGTTCTTTTTCTTTGTGGACTCCCCATTAGCATCAGTGGAGCATTGGTTTCTACAACGCATTTTGTAAGCACTGGGTTAGGTCCATTTGCTGCAGAAGAAGCATGGATACTTCTGTGGCTGGAGTTATGCTTGTTTACTCATCTCAAAATTGTCCCATGTCCCTATAACTCTGTGGTGTGGCCACCCAGGGCCCGGGGCTGCTATCTCTCTACCCACCTTCCAGCATAGTAGCCCACAGTAGCACTCAAGGTAAAGTCCACAGCCCAAATTGGATGAAGCACTTCTCTCTCAAACATCACTGGATGACTCTCACTAGCCATTCATAGCCTTCTATGACCTGGCTCTGACTTATTCTTCTATGTCTGTTTCTCACTGTGCCTTCTCATCACACACCATATGTTCAGCTTTCAGGGAACTGCATACTTGTTGCCCTATAATGTCATTCCTGGTTCCTCCGCATATGCTTATCTGCCAGAATCCCTGCCCGTCTAGTCTGTACATTAAAATACCCTCAGAGACCGGCTCAGACACCACCTCTTCTACACAGCCTTCTGTCATCTTGCCTGGAGGTCAGCAACACTGGTGGTTCTAATTGGTGCCCATTAAAATCAGCTGATAAACCTTAAAAACAAACAAACAACAACAACAACAAAAATGCTAAGGTCTTACCCTAGAGAGATTGAATCAGTAATTCGAGGGGTAGAACTGGGCTTGAGTGTGGTTTTAATGAGCAGTCAAACTGGGGAATGTTCAGCAAATGTGGCCCTCTTCTGTAGGTTGTCACTGTTGGTGCTTAGAGGCAGCATTCACATCTGGTGACATCTCCTCTAAGTGTGGCCAACTTTCTTATGCTGGATGGGTTTGATTGTCTGAAGCATACTGCCCTCCCTGTCATCCGTCTGGTTTTCAGTGTCACCAATAATGAAGTTATTCCATTTAAAAACAAACACTTGGAGCCTTCTTCAAAATTATTCCATTTCTTGGTCTTTCATTACTGTAAATGAGGATGGAATCCCAGTGTACATCATTTTTATGAGGTTTCCGGATTGTTCTGTGTTAGCAGAATTTTGTGACATTGCTGTCGGGACATGAAATCACATTCCCAGCATGCAAGACCTGAATGTGACTTTAGTGTTTTCATGCTTAACTAGTGAAACAAAGGCTTTTAACACGATGTGGGGAAGGCTCAGGTCACCCAATTGCCCTCTTTAGGTTCTTGAATCTTCTTCTTGATGGATTGTTTTATGTAGTTGTGTTCTTACTGCACGTTCACTCCTTAGGGTGGACATTGAACGTATTTTTTGTTGAAATTGGATCTACTTCACACTGTTATCTAGACAGTAGTTTTCACCATCTTTGACAACCACTGCTCCTTTGCACTTTGCCAGTCTTGGAGGTTCTGTCTTGCTCTTCAAGGTTTGGGGGTAGAGTGACTGTGACAAGCAATGGCTTGTTAAGTATCTGAGGGCTGTGAAGAGTTTTCAGGAGGCCACTGTTGCAGTGTTTATCTTACTCTGTGCATGGTGAGGTTAGCCGCCTGCAAAGGGTGAATACTGTGTTCCCAATGGGGGTGACATTGGCATTTTGGAAGGGACAGTTCTTCATTATCTGGGACTGTCCTAGAATTACAGGACATCCATTTTCCCTGTTTTCTGCCCTTTAATTAAAGGTAAGCTTCCAGTCATTGTGACATATGCCACATACATTTCCAATTGCTTCCAAAGGGTCATAACTGCCACAGTTGAGAACCATCTGCTGACATTACAATTCTCGACAGCTGTAAAGTTTTGTGAGTCGGAATCTACTCGACGGCATACAATGAATAGCAACAACATTTAGAGTTTTATATAAATACCAAAGGAGACTGGGGGATTATCTTCTTTCAGGTCTTTATGGATGAGAAGGTACCCATCTTTCTCTGATGACTCTGATTTGGTTGTGTTTGAATATGGGGAGTAGAATAGAAAAACCAGTTCTAAGTTAATCATCCTCTCTTGAAGGCCCAGTTGACGGAGCCACATTTCGGGCCTGGAGCCTGGCTGGGTGACCAAGAACCCTGCAATAGTTTGACTTTGAACAACCATCTAAACTCTCTGGGCCTCTATATACTCTAAAAGAGAGAGGTGTGGAAAACTGCATTAGGGAGATTCTGAACCCTGTGCAGCTCTTGATTTCTGTTACTGAGATAGTTTCTCCAGACCCCTCTTTTCCTGTTGCATGTCCTTTTGGGGACTGCAGACTTAGCTTGCTGACAGGCATCATTGAAGGAATGAGGACATCGTCCCACTGCGTCCTGACCAAGATGATGCAATAGTTAAGCACTTGGCAACTAACCGAAAAGGTCTGTGGTTCAAACCTACTAACTGCTCCATGGGTGAAAGATATAGTAATCTTCATCCATAAAGATTATAGCCTTAGAAACCCTAGCGGACAGTTCTGTTCTGTCCAGTAGGGGTGGCTACATGATTAGGAATCAACTAGAAGGCATCAGGTTTGGCTTCTGTTGTTGTTTTGTTTTTTAATAGATCAGGCTTCTCCGTACTTACCAAAGCAGCAAAGGAAAAGAGAGAAGGGGAAGAAACCATTTAGAAAGTATAAAGACTTGAATGTCAAAACAAACCTGTTGCCACCAAGTCAATTCAGGCTCACAGTGACTCTCCATAGTGGCTCTGTCAGATAGAGCAGAGCAAAGTTTTAAGGTTTTGAAGGCTGTAACCGTGACAAACAAACTACCACATCTTTCTCCTGTGGAGTGACTGGTGTATTCAAACCTCCAACCTTTTGGTTTGTAGCGGATTGCCGAACCACTGCGACACCAGGATTCCTTACTTAAATGCCAAACTCAAACCAAACCCACTGCCATGTAGCCAATTCCAACTCATACAACCCGATAGGATAGAGTCTAACTGCTCCCTAGGGTTTCCGAGGCTGTAAATCTTTATGGGAGTAGACAGCCTCATCGTGTTCCCACAGAATAGCTGGTGGATTTGAACCACCCACCTTTAAGTCACCAGTCCAATGCTTAGTCTACTACACCACCAGAATTCCTTTTTTTAAAAGTCAGAGGGCCTAATTTTGCCCCATAGAAAGTTTAGTCTTGAGAATTTCCATAGTTAATGGCAATGTCTGGGACTGCTGCCCTCTTCAGGCCAGAAGTGGATTAACAGTCCACAGCCCAGCAAGGCTGATCCTGTCTTTCCAATGGTAAGGTTTTGTGAGAGTTGCAAACGTGTTTTCTCAGCTAAAATGGACCAGCACCTTCCTCCCTCAATCTTTCCCTTCCTTTCTTCAATTTTACCAGGATAACAAGTATTCTGGACTTTTTTTTCCTTGGTATTTTACTTTCGATTATATTAGAAAATTATTTGTATTGCATATACTAGGGAGAGGGAAGAATTCACCCACAGCTCTGCTGTCTGTTCATCCCTGACCTGTCTGTGTCTGTGTGCAGATATAACTGTTAAACATGGCTGTTGTCGTTTTCAAAAATGACAAAAAATTGTTTCTGAAGGCAGAAATTCCCTATGGACTCCCTTCTCTCTGGGTCCCTCCATCTGTTTTTTTTGCGGGGTGGGGGTGAATATTGCGTGTCCTGGGCATGCTAGATGACCCCTTTCAGAGCAGATGCTTCATTGTTTTCTGAGGGCCACTCTCCAACCCCTTTGAGTATGGGGACTACCTCTGTAGGTGGCGCTTCCAGAACCAGGTGTGGTGTTCCAACCCCAGCCTTTGTCTGTAGGAGAAGCGTTGCTAGTCCTCACCAGTCAGGGTTTAGTTACAGCTTTTCTGTTCACAGCCCTGCTCAACCCCTCAAGTGAAGGCCAGTGCAAGAAAGTAAATGAAGACTGTGGAAATAAAAAGGTCATTGAATAATCGAGTATGATATTTTATTTCTAGCCTCAGTATCATCCTAATATCCACTCCAGCCAGTCTCGGTGGCACCCCCATTCTCCAAATGTCAGGTAAGTGCTTGAACCCCAAGACTTGTGCTTTTGAAGTTTCTGCTTCTCTGGGAAGTTCAGATTCAAACCAGTCTTAGCAGTTGCATTGTCATGGTTGAGATTAATAATTTGCAAAGGAAAGAAAACCAGTGATAAGTCTGGATTTACTCAAGTTATGCTTTGTGAAATTAAAACGAATTTAAGTTTTTTAAAATAATTCTAACCTTGGACATTTTAGGTCTGTGACTTAGAAATGGTAACTTCAAATTACTAAGTTGTTTTTCTGTCCTTAGAATTTATTTACTTACATAAAAGTTTGGGTATTTTTGTTGTGGTGGAGGTAGATTTTCAGGGGGTAAAAAAATCCACCCCACCCCCCAAGTGTATGAGTGGGAGTATGTTTTCTGTGGTGGTAAATCTTTTTTTTAACTAAGCATTTGGTGGACATTTTCTGTACAGGGCCAGATAGTCAGTGTTTTTGGCTTTGATGAACATTTTGGTCAACTGTTGAAATTACTCAGATCTGTCATTGTAACTTAAACAAAAAACCAAACCCACTGTTCTCTAGTTGGTTCCAACTCATAGCGACCCCATGTAGCCTTACTGAGACTGTAAATCTTTACAGGAGCAGACAGTCTCATCTTCGTCTCACAGCTGAACAAAACAGCCACAGATAATACCTAAATGAAAGCACAGCACGTGGCTGGTTTAGTAAAATGTGCAACACAGTCAGTGAGAGTGTAGTTTGCCAGACCTGCTCTAACCTAACTACACAGTTCTTTGAAAGTAAATTGATTTCTGTTAATATTACAGTTTTAAAAATGATAGTTTTGTGAAGGTGGTTGTTGCTGTTAAGTGCCGTTGAGTTGGTTCCAACCCATAGCGACCCTGTGTAGGGTTTCCAAGGAGCGATTGGTGAGCTTGAACCATCAACCTTGTAGTTCAAATGGCTTTGCAGTCTGGCGCATTAACCCACAGCGCCATACCAGTACTGCTTTGTGAAGGTAGATGCTCCTTTTTTAATTTGATTTTTATATCAGTCTTAATTGATGTTTGTTTATGAAAACTATTGCAGAAGCATAGTTGGTAAGTGTAGTAATGGAAGTAAGTCCATCTGTGGGGGTGGGGGACTTTTTTTGTTTTTTTTTTTCCTGCTAAAATTTATAACATCATTCGCTGGCCATATAAAACAATCAACTTAAACATTAGTCTGCTATATTTGGTTAGAAGTCCTGGTGTGGTGCTGTGGGTTAATGCACTGGACTGCAGAGTTGGTTTGAACTGCAAGGTCTGTGGTTCAAGCTCACTAGCCACTCCTTGGAACCCCTATACAGGGACACTATGAGTCGGAAACGACTCAGTGGCAGTTAACAACAACAATGTGATGGCTACCAGGAGTTCTGGTGTGGCATTATGGGTTCATGAGCTGATCACATTCACCAGTCCCTCCTCAGAAACCCTATACAGGGTCACAATGAGTCAGAACCGACTCGGCACTAAACAACAACAGCAATGTGATGGCTGGAACTGCAGTTGCTTTGGCAGGGCCAGACCAAATGATTTTGTGGCTCTTACA